AGTCGCAACAAAATGTTTCCAAATGCTAGGGTTTGTGCTGCGGAATGCGAAGGAGTTCAAAAAGCCCTCAATAAAAATTCTCCTGTATTTGGCATTGGTTCATTCGGGTTTGGAATATTGTAGTCAGGTTTGGTCCCCACATTACGATATCCATACGCTTAGTATCGAGCGAATACAGAAGAGTAAATATCTGGCACCTATCTTACTAATCTAACAAAGCCAAACTGCTGTCCTCATATAAGGAACGTCTTGCCTATTTTAAACTGAATAGCCTACGAGGGCGAAGATTGTTTTTGGATCAGTTGCTTTTTTATAAGATTATCAATGGCCTCATCGCCTGCCCAGCGTTATAGCGATCTGTCAATTTTAATATCCCATACAAGTTGCCGCATCGCGTACGTTACGTTCCACTCTCATCAATAGGTGCCAAAAGTAGCTTAGGTCACCACGCTACCATGAATCGCTTACAGAGACAGTACAACTTAATATCTAAGTCTTACAACATCGACATCTATTCTGACAAGCCGTTGAAATTTAGACGCAAGCTCGGTCAGTTTCTCGAATCAATGGTGTCTGTTTAATTCAAGTATCTATTGTATGATTTTTTGACATAAAAAATAAGGATTAAAATGTTTAAAATGTTCGTGGATTTTCGGGTACGTCAACACCAATTACCATCACGTTGACTACTAGCCCAATAAGCTTATAGTAAGAAATAATTTAAAATTAAACATGTTGTACAACCGACTTCAATATAAATTATTAAGAGTAACTCAAAAACTATTGGTCAGACATTGATCAAATTTATATGAGACCACATGACCACATTTAAGTTATATGATTATGATGATGATATATAAGATGATGTTACGTAAGTAAAATATAAGATTTAAAAAACATTTAGTTTACAAATTAAAATTATTTTAAGATGTATTGTGTATTATACCCTGAGCACTCAAGGGCAGATGAAATAATTGTAGATCTTAGCAAACATTAGCAAATACGATAATAGTAATTACCGCTGTTTATTGTTTTAAAATTGTACGGATAGCAGCACAGAAGAACTGCTAATAGAATAATAAAAAAATCCATAACTTCTACTTCAAAAAAGAGACGGTACTCAATTCGAATGTATGTTTTTTCTTTTTATGTATTCTTTTTTTATTTGATAGCTAGTGATTCATACGTGGTCCCATAATTCGATCAAGTTTTAACTAATAGTTTTTCAGTTATTTCTTAATAATCTATATTGAAGTTGGTAGTACAAAATTTTCAATTTTAAATTATTATTGATGTTTTTTAAAGATTAAGGATGACAAATGAGTACACAGGCAACCATCTATATTTACGAGAGTGACACCGAAAGTTCTTAGAAAATCAAAAACTGAAGAAACTAGCAAGTTATTAGTTTTATTATATCTTTTCAAAATAGTATCCATTTACTTCAATACATCGCTGCATCCGATGGAATGACTGAGAAAAGCCCACTCGTCCTTAGGCGTCTCTTCGACGGCATTTTGAAACGCAGCCACTGCTTCCTAGGCGTCCATAAAACGTTTTCCTCGAAGTTTTTCTTTTATTTTCGGAAATAAATAATAATCGCAAGTTGCATGGTCGGAGCTATAAGGTAGGTCACCCAGTAATTCCACGTATGACGTCGCCAAGTAGTCGATTGTTTGCTTGGAGGTCGCACACGAAACGCTGTCGTGGTGAAGGAGGATTCTACTGCGAGGTCGTTTCTCCCAAACTTTTTCCAAGACAAGTGGTAAACAATTGTTAATATACCACTCTGCATTAACTGTTTTTCGAACCTCTAAAACAGTTGTTGCGTAATGACCTGTCTTTCCTTTCCCACGCTTCGATCTCTCTTCACTTTAGTTGGCAACTTCTCGGAAGGAAACATCCAGACAGCAGACTACTTCTTAGTTTTAGGATCATAACAATAAATCCAGCTTTCGTCACCCGTAAGTATGTCGAACACAGCATTTGAGTCACCTCCGTTAAATCTTTGAACCATTTCACGACACCAATCAACACGATGGAGTTTTTGGGCCTCTAATTTGAGGTATCCACCGAGCACAAAGCTTCCTGACCGCTAAATGTTCATGGAAGATTTTGTGCACTTGACTCATATCTTTACCTAAGCTTGTCCGAATCTGCTGGTAAGTCACTCTTTTGTCTGTTTCTGCCATATACTGCACAACACTGATGTTAACTTCAGTCGTCGCCGTAGAAGGCCGTCCCTCACACAATCATCGGTGAGATTAGTGCGACCACGTTTATACTCATTAAACGAGTTGTAAACAGTAGCACGAGATGGGACTTCATCGTGAAAGGCCAATCGAAGTCTGTCATAACTTTTTTGTTGACTTAATGACATCGAAAGTCATAAAAAAATTTTCAATTTGCCGCCAAATCGTAAACAAATGACAAAGTAATAAAATACATACACAATAAGAGTTCCATTTTCAAAATTTGAACTTATTTTTTTATTATATGGTTTACAAGTGGCCAGTTCTAAAAACTTTCAGTGTCGCCCTCGTATGCATCCTTGAGGACAAAGATGGATTGCCTTGATTCCAGTAAAACTGGTATCTGGTTTTCTCCAATCACCATGCGAAATGTGGCATCTTTAAGCTGTTATTTCACATTGGTATTCTGTGAGAGCAAACGTAAAAAACGTACGTACGTGTTTACGTAAGCTTAAAGTTACAGCACATAATTCAGCACTGAACATTGCAATACAGCAGCCCAGTGACCGCGTTACCAAAACTCACGCAAACTTGTAGTCGTTGCTGAGTAATCTTAGTATATATAATGTAAAATTGTATTAGTATTAAGATATATAAATTGTACCATTTTATAAATAAAAAAACATATGTGTGTGTCGTCTAACACACGGTTGGAACGAAGTTCCTTTCGTAGTATATTATTATTTATAAACGTATTATATTATTGATTAACAAATACAAATAAATGAATTACTAGCGTCTATTAAAATGAAGCGTCATTTAAAATAATATTTCTTTCATGGCAAGACAAGAAAAAGGCGAGGGACTTGGATATTATTCCATCTCGCTCGCATTGTAGAAAGGGTCGTGACGGAAAAATCTTACACTTTTTCGCGCCTAGCTCCGATAAGGAACTTCGTTCCAAAATACTCTTTCAACGCTGGACGACAACTTCGTTAGTATCGCCGTTCCGGGGCTCTTGGTAAGCCTGGTCTCCCTCTCACTGCGGCCAAGACACCTTTAGCCGTCAGAACCCCTTATCAGTCTTGTGAGTCTGCTTGACTGGCAGTTAGAGAACCCACCTAAACCATCCAGTCTCTATCCGTTTGTTATCTTAGGTCTCATTGTGCAGACATTCAGCATGTATTTTTATGGAAGAGGAGGCAAACGAGCATGCGACTCACCTGATGGTAAGCAATCACCGTCGCTCATGAAAATCTGCAACACCAGGAGAACTGCAGGTGCGTCGCCAGCCTTTTAGCAAGGAGTAGGCTCTTTTGTTGAAGGTACCTAAGTCGTATCGGTGCTGAAAACTTGCAAGCGATAATAAATTCAACAGTTTTGGCGTGCGAGGAAGAAAATTCCACGTAAAGCGCACAGTAGTCGACCACCAGTCATCGAGATGATGAGGATGGTGTTTCAAATTCTATCGCAGTGTACGATGGTGGAATTCAGCAGCTGGAATTAATCCGAATAATTCCTCTAAGCACTCCTCGTGGTATATGCGGTATATTTATATGGTTGTGCTAGTATTAACGACTGCTAATACTTCAAGTGCAGCCAGGCAGTTGAGCTCTTAAAAGGAAATTGGGTTACTATTTAAACACATAGCTGACCTGACTGTACATCCTATTTATGTTCCACTGCTGACGACAGGAATCCTATTATTTCAGAGAAAGTTTATGTTGGTGTGCAATAAAAAGTAATTGACCTATCTTTCTACCATCAGTTGAGTCGTAATTTGTTAGCTCGTTTGTCACTACTATAATATTTCTAAATAATAATTTAAAGTTAAAAATTTTGTACAGACGACTTCAATATAAGTTATTAAGAATAACTCAAAAACTATTAGTCTGACCTTAATCAAATTCATATGGGACCACACGAAAAGTACCAGCTTTCCGATAAAAAGAGAATCATCGAAATCGGTTCACCCAGTAAAAAGTAATGAGGTCACACACATAAAAAAAACATGCAGTCGAAATGAGTACCGTCTTCTTTTTGGAAGTCGGCAGTTAAATGAGAACTTCATCAATATAAATTTCACAGTACGCTAGCAACCCGGGTTCGATACCCGCGGGCACTAATGAAATTGTTAATTGCAATTTTAAGTGCTGATTTATCACGTGCTCGGCGGTGAAGTTAAACATCGTGATGAAACCTGCATGTCTGAGAAATAAGAAGAAAAATTTTTGAAGATATATGTAGTTCGCCAACACGCATTGGGGCAGCGCGGTGGAAATTTTCTTGCCCTAAAACCCTCTCCGAAATGTGGGGAGGTCTGTGCCCAGCAATGGGACGTATATAGGCTGTAACTTTAACTTTTTTGACTTCATCAATGTAGTCGAATCGAAGTCAATTAAATATGCATTATTAAGGATAACTCAAAAACTACTGTTCAAATCTTGATCAAATATATGTGGGACCACATGAGAGCACCAGCACCAGCTTTTAAATAAAAAAATCAGCAAAATCGGTTCACCTAGAAAAAAGAGATAATAAAAAAATACTATCGACTTGAGAACCTCCTTTTTTTGAAGTAGGTTGAAAAATACAAACTATCAGAAAAACAAATTCTTCATTTATTTATTCAATATAGATATCACAGTACATTATGAGTAGCTTTACCTCAGTTTCATACATAATCTTGAGTAATAAAGCGACGTAATAATTTATAACAATGTTGTAAAGATCTACAGATATAACATAACTCATTAAAAGCGCAAATGGGTGTAAGCATGCACGTTAAGTGAGGAAAATTAAAAAAAAATGAAGGACGATAAAGTTAAACCTTCGGCGTTCCTAGTACAAGGATTGTCAACCCTGGCAAGTTAGTGGAAAATAATATTTATCGTTATTTATTTATAGAATAAGCTTGAAAATCGAACACACAGTCCACCTGATGGCAAATGGATGCTGTGGTCTATATAGACATTTGCATCAATCTTCAATTAAGGACTAAGATGAAATGTCTTGTTTTCAGTAAAATGGGTCTCCGGTTCTCTACACTCACCCTACGAAACACGTTGGTAAGTGTATGTACCGTTAAGTGGTGATGAAGACTCAGATGGTAAATATCACTGTCTTAGGGTAACAAAAATGTTATGAAGAATATTCAGTAATGAGCATTTCCTTTAAGATTAATTTTTTAACTTCCCGCTTTGAAAATTAATAATCTTCAAAAGTAGGTAGTTATAGATTTCGGTCTGATTTTGATAATGCGAGTTTTTTTTAGATCACTCTCTCATAGGATACCAGCCTAAAATAGCAGCTTAATGCTGCTGTGTTTTGGTATGGTAAGTGTAGAGAACCGTAGACCCTTTTTAGTGGATAAGAGGCATTCTATTTTAGTCCTCACGGCTGACAACGCATCTGCATTTTAATTCGTAAACGAAGATAGATGTAGATGTCTATGGGCCACAGTAACTACTTTCTATCAGGTGGACTGTGTACCCGTTTGTCACTCTTATTCTATAAAAAAAATATACATTTAAAAATATTTTTATTTTTAGTTGCATATTTGACAACCCTGTCCGGTTTCATATACGCGTGGCCCTCCTACACCTTGGAAATGTTCATGTCGAACGCAACAGTGCTCTCTGCGCCTATGACTCCGATGGAGGCATCACTCTTGGGCAGTCTTACAAATGTTGGTGGGTTGGTGGCGACGCCATTCTGCGGATACGCCGTCAACAAGTTCGGCAGAAAATACGCTGCTATTATGTATGGATTGCCCTATGTGGTGTGTATATTGTTGTATATCTTGACAAAGGATGTACTAGTAACTCTTTCTTCTTCTGTTTCTTTTTTCTCGTTACTCTGCAGAAGTTAACTACTGGAAATGGGCCTTTTATATTCTGGGACTTGCCTTAATGGTCACGTTTTAAGGCGCATTGACGATACCAGTATATCTTTGACGCTGCTGCCAGTCAGGGTATTTAACGTCTTGAATAACTACACGGTATAACTGCATCTATCAGGAGATATAAGGTTATTTGGCATTCCCCCTAATCGTCTCTCAGGACACCCACGCGACGTGTAGTCCACTCTGACGACACTTAAGGGACATAATAGGGTGATGGATTCTTTTACGCTGCCACATCACGTAACTCGGGATATTTAAATTTAGACGTTACCCACAAAACGTATTCACTCAATCACCATTTTATTCTTAACAACTTATTTATACAGTCAGCCAACCACAACGTTATATTTTTACCTAGCGCCTGGCGTATAAATTTAGCAATCTTTCGTAACATAACAAACACTCATACGTGGTAGAGCCATGCTGCAGCTATATTGGTAGTATAGTTTTAGCACAAATTGGTCGGCTCGACCGGGGAAAGACCAAGGTCTCACAGAATACCAGCGTAAAGTGGCAGCTTGATAGTGCTGTATGGTGAGTGTAGAGAACCGCAGACCCATTTTACTGGAAAAGAGGCATTCCATCTTAGGCCTCACGGGTGACGACGCATCTGCATTTTGATTCTTTATTGAGGATAAATGTAGATGTCTATGGGTCACAGCAACCACTTACCATCAGATGGACTGTGTGCTCGTTTGTCACCCTATACTATAAAAAAAACTCTCGCCTGTCACCCAGAGGGTTAGGCAGATACCACGGAATTCCACCTACCTGTTTATGCTCATCGGTTAAGGGTCGCTTTTAATTTGGCCCATCTTCAATATAACGCCAATTTGATCGATAAACTTGCGTCCCCTGCCAGCATAAATTTGCTTTGTCACTCTTTCTTCATTAATTCATTATTTCTACATGTCCAAACCACTCAAGTACTAAATAATAATATTTTTTATATATTTACTATATTTTTTGTATATTTACAATTTTCTTCTATATATTTATGCACCCCTACTACATGAGAAAAATAAATATTTATCATAATAATACAAAAAATAAAAATTATTAATAAAATTATAAAAAAAATATATTAGACTCTCAGTTTGATAAACTTACTATTTATACCTACTATCTGTGCCCTATTTACAATCAACGGTAATTATATGCTTTGCATATAAAAACATTGTTAACCCCGAGCGCAGAAGGTGTTGACCAATATTTTATAGTGTAATATGCAGTTACCGTTACAGCCTATAAAAGTCCACTGCTGAACGAAGGCTTATCTCGTAGATGCGAACTAGTTCTCTAAGCTTTTATTTCTCCTCTGTACCGCCTCTTGTTTGTTCTATGGCATTATCGACGACGTAAATAAAGTGTCTTTATAATTTTTTTCCAGCTTACTTGGGCCATAATATCCATAACAAGATGGCCGCCATTAGTTATTGCTGCTGTAGGGCTTGCAGGATTTGGAGCCGCGGGCCAAGCGGTCTCCTCAGTTTACATATCAGAGATATGTCAAGATTCAATCAGAGGGGGGCTGACCTCCACCACTGTGTCTGGTTATTTCGTCGGTCTACTGTTTTCTTATGCGATTGGAGGACACCTAACGTACCACCAAGTGGCGTATGTGCATATGGCACTTTCTATATTGTACATGATTATGCTGACCTTTTTGAAAGAATCACCAGTGTATCTCTTGCTAATTGGACAGGAAATGGTGCGTCATTAATACATATAAGTAGTATACATAATTAAAATTCAATAATATAAGGAGCATATAGCACAGAATAAATAATAGCCCATAGACACATCTGGCAAAGACAATGAATCAATATATATATGCATTAAAATTTACGTGGTAGAGCAATGCCGCAGCTATATAACAATTATAGCACGAATGAATTAGCCTAAATTACGTTTACATGTATGCTCGAATAAGAATCAAAATGCATATATATTGTCACCCTTGAGGACTAAAATGGAATGCCTGGTACCATATACCAATAAAACGTGTTCTTAGTAGTCAACATACAAAACACATCAGCTTTAAGTTGCTTTTTTACGCTGTAATTTTGTAAAAGCCTGGACCTTCCTCAGTCAAGCAGTCGCAGTCATATTTTTTTTTTGGATAGGGTGACAAACGATCACACAGGCCACCTGATGGTAAGTGGTTGCTGCAGCCCATAGACATCTACATCTATCCTCCATTACAAATCAAAATGCAGATGCATTGTCATCCCTGAGGACTAAAATGGAATGCCTTGTTTTCAGTAAAAATGGTATTCGATTCTTTACACTCACTATATGAAACACAGCAGTTAAGCTGCTATTTTACGCTAGTATTCTGTGAGAGCGTGATCTTTCCCCGATCAAGCCGACCCATTCGTGCTTCAACTATACTACTTATATAAATACATTAAAATTTACGTGGTAGAGTCATGCTGCAACTATATTAGTTGTATAGTTGTAGCACGAATGGATCGGCTCGACCAGGAAGGACAGAATACCAGCGTAAAATGGCAGCTTGATACTGCTTCTGTGTATCGTATGGTGAGTGTAGAGATCCGGAGACCCTTTTTACTGGAAAAGAGGCATTCCATCTTTGTCTTCACGGGTGACAACGCATCTGCGTTTTGATTCGCAAAGGAGGATAGATGTAGATGTCTATAGGCCACAGCTACCACTTACCATTAGGTGTACTTTGTGCTCGTTTGTCGCTCTATTCTATAAAAAAAGCATGGCTCTACTACGTAAATTTTAATGTATTAATATATTGATTCGTTATCTTTACCAGATGTGTCTATGGGCCACAGCAACCCATCAAGGTGAATTATATACATACTTCGATACTTCTAGAGTATGGGACGAAAGGCATGAGTTCTCGTACGCCTACACCTCGTGGTACACATCTAATGATATCATTAACCTCATAGATATTATCATCGCAATCAAAACCATACCTAAGTTTATCTAATTTTCACCATAATGTAATATTAAATAAATTAAAAAGTTTCCTTTTACGTCAAGAGACTTTTGATTTAAAATATTGATAAATACTGCAAATATAATTCAAACAAAAATAAGCGCATTAATCTTTGATACAGAGTAGTTAATACTTAATTAAACAAAACGTAATATTTTATTACAGGAGGCAGCGAGGTCAATAGCATTCTACAGACGCGCGTCAGCAACATCTAAGGAGGTCGAAATGGAGATAACAAAGATTAAGCTACAAATGGATCCTAGAATAGACGAGATACTTGAAGGAGAAAACGGTTAACTATTTCAATCAATTACATTCTTTATTTTTTTACTTATTATAAGCCAGTGCTTGACCACAATCCCACCTGCGGTAAGTGGTGATGAAGCGCTATGTGGTAAAACGTAACAAAAACCTATTCACTCTTGACTTGAAGATGCTCAGATTGCATTCATTCTAAAACAGACACGGGCAAATTATTAAACTCCTTTGCTGTAAGCATTATAAAAGACTTTTCTAATTTTCTAATTTCCCTAAGAAAACTGCTTTCAAACGTTTGATAATTCATATATAACTCATTAGAGACACATCGTGCAACGTTGATAATAATATTTAATAATAAGTTGATTATTAAGTTAGAGCTATTTGATAGAAAAAAGGATTTTTAATACTAACTTTGCAGAAAATTTAAAAAGTTGCGAAAGATCAGCAGTTAATTGGTTTTTCCTGTCCATCTTAAAATTTTGTTTTTCTCGTGTTCAAAGGTATTTCTTGAATAGTCTTTTATACTACACAATTTGTGAAACATTTTATATAGTTATTAACTAATATTAACTTACCAAAGAAAAACGTAACCATTTTACCTGAAAAATCTTAGAAAATAGACACAAACTGTAATCAGACGCAAACAAAGTCCGTTTTTTCCAGTTTTAATAACATGCAGTTCAAAAACATACAATATATTTAAAGTTTAGAGTTCACCCAGCAAACTTTCTATCCATGCAGGTTCAGGAATGATTTCTTTCTAACCGACTTCAAAAGGAGGAGGTTCTCAGTTCGAGCGTATGTTTTTTTTTTCGTACGTATGTTACGCGATATATTCGTTAAATGTGAACTTTTGTGTTCTTTTTTTTTATTAAATAGGTACTTCAAGGGGACTCCCATATAAATTTGGAAAAAAAATTTCACCCTAAGGCGGCGTTTCCATCAGAGATGTTCGAGGATGCATAGCGAGAGATGTGTCTGTTAAGAACCAATAGAATCACTTCATTTACCTAGCCTCGCTCAGCGCAGCTCTGGTGGAAACGGCTCAGCGGAACGAGGTTTTTATATATACAAAACAAGGGAAGGATGTGTGCGAGGGATGTGTTGCAAGGGACCGACACGACTTAGGGACCTTCAAGAAACGAGCCTACTCCTTTTTAAAAGGCCGGCAACGCATCTACAACTCCCCTGGTGTTTTGGTTGTTCATGGGCGGCGGTAGTCAGTTACCATCAGGTGAGCCGCATGCTTGTTTGCCCCCTCTCCTATAAAAAAGGGATGTGTGCTAGGGAAGGACGCAAGAAGCAGCGGGCAGCGGCGCGCGCGCTCCGCTCCCACCACACCTCACCCCGATCGCATCTGAAACGAGCCCGCTACACATCCTCGCACCGCTCATCTGCGCACTGTTTCACAGCGTCGCTACGCATCCTTCCACCGCCCAGCTACCTCGCACATCTCTGGTGGAAACACAGCCATAGTAAGTATATCATCGGTAAATAAAAGAGGGCTTGCCATTGATGTTGATATCGTATAATTTCTGGTCCTGTAGCTTGAAAACGTCTCCCAATGCAGCGGCGAAGAGTTTTGGGGATATAACGTTACCCTGTCTTACACTTCTCTGCAGCTGGATAGGTTTCGTACTCTAGTTCAGTACTCACATCGCCATCGTAGCGAGTTTTTGGCGGGAACTTGACCGGTGACGGATTGCTGCTCCTCTGTTATTGTTTAAATAATGGTTTGAAGTGGATTTTGATATGTAAAAGTGGTGCGATTTTAAGTATTAAATGTCTACGCATGTGAACTATTAGTGGAAACGGTGAAACAAGTGCTCTGATGGTGATGTGATTCTCAAGGTAAGGTGTCTGTCTGCATAGGCGCCTTGAGATCGCCAACTGTCAGCTGTCTGCTGGCTCAAGTTGCCGTCAAAATCTCCCAAGGGCTGCACAATGTGACGCATCAACATATTGTGGAGCAGTGTACTATGAAGGATAAATAATTATACATTGTAAGTTCAGGCTCAGAAGGGCTAGAACCCAGAGCCGTAAAGCAAGTTATTAAGAAGAAGAAGAAGCCATCGTAGCTTTACTGTCAAGAAATTTCAGCATCGATATACCGACAATCGGCTTAGCATCGCTGAAGGGACCCGTAGTCTTCTTACTTACTTCTTCTTAGGTCTTCAAAATTATCAAAACTCTATTGACGATCACATTAGATTAGATTAAGCTCGACCACTTTAAAGTTCCTCCGCATTCAAACCATATCAAAAATTGTCAGACTTAAATACCAAAACCGGCAAACATTATTATTTAAATGTTACAATTTAAATTTGTTTACTATAAACTGCTCTCGATTTAACGGAAAATACCTATCGTCATCAGTCTGAGTCATCTATGCCACTATCGTCTTCCTGTAGATTTATAATTAAATTTTGAACTTGATCTTTCAAAAAAGATTTTTTTTTAAATCCGTTACCAGGAGTTCTTTTTTTTATAGGATAGGGTGACAAACGAGCACACAGTCCATCTGTTGGTAAGTGGTTGCTGTTAGCCATAGACATCTACATTTATCCTCAATGAAGAATGAAAATTTAGATGCATTGTAACCGGTGAGGACTAAGATAGAATGTCACTTTTCCAGTAAAAAGGGTCTCCGATTTTCTACAATCACCATACGAAACACAGCAGTGTTAAACTGCTATTTTACGCTGGTATTCTGTGGGAGGTCCCAGTCGAGCCGACTCATTCGTGCTACAACTATACGCTCTTCTGCATGCTTCACACATATAACCCAGTTTTTCCTGGTAAAGTTTTCTATTGCTTTATGTAGAAGAACTTCAACATCAGTTATTTTAAAAGTATGTTTTTGAGCTGCAATTTTTCTTTTTTGAGCCGATACGAGCTCAAAAGGATTATATTGACAATGATGTGGTGGGAGTCGTATCACTTCATGAGCATGTTCATTCACCAGTTGATCTATTAAATAATTTTTTTAGGCCTACTTTCTTTAGCTTTTCGTAAAAGTTCTTCCGTTATTTTAATTATTTGTAAATGCGATGTTGTATTTCGTTCATCATCATCATCATCATCATCATTACAGCCCTTCACAAGTCCACTGCTGAACATAGGCCTCCCCCAAAGAATGTATTTCGTTAACCACTCCTAAAAAAGGTTGGAAAGGTTAAAAGGTTGGAAAAAAAGGGGGACGAAGTGTAGGGTGTCCCCCCACTAGATGGAGTGACGATCTGGTAAGATATGCAGGGAGTCGATGGATCTAGGTGGCTCAGGACCGTGCTTTGTTGCATTCTTTGGGGGAGGCTTATGTTCAGCAGTGTACTTGTGAAGGGACGTAATGATGATGAAATAATGAACCACTCCTAAATGTCTTTCTTTATTGTAGCAGATGTTGGTATTCTTTGCCGCCGAGATAAAGCGGGCTCAGGTAGCGAGTGGCGCACAGCGGTGGCACATTACTATTGTTATTGACATTAGCTCGACGACTCAGTTGATAACGCGGGCACTATGATGTTGAAATTTAATCATTGACATTCATCATAGTCTATACAATGTAACACCATATATTGATTCATAGGGGGGATATTTGTCAAAGTTGCCAAGCTTGGCAAGCAGGTATTCAATCGCACCGTTGACCAAGTTTTTTTTATTTTATTTGCTACTGGCTATCTCCTGTTTCAATCTGACTCTGTCTCCTTTTATGAAACTCACGGAATGATATGAGATAGTGGATATTCCACTGCCACTATACAGTGTAACGTTCTCCCTCACCTTTATACTGCCGCCTGCTGCTGTATAATAAATAATATAAAACAAATTAAATGACCGGATTATATATTGATCATTTAAAAGGAACTTCTTAAAGATTAGTTAGTTGTAGGCCGTTTATTATAATTATTTTATAGCGTGATCGCCTTAGATGGGACCAGTTTTTATGATGCGTATGTTTAGCAACTTAGTTCGTTTTGGTGTTTCTTGGAAGAATGAATAACCAATAGAGCTGTTGGTAAAGAAGATAAAGTAAAAGTAGAGAACCTTGTTCACGAGGAAAGGCTCGAACATGTTAAAGAACATTAATTTGCCCATTTTTTTTAAAGAATAAGGGTAAGATTATCTTATCCGCTTCTTCTTCCTCGCACAACTTCCTTGTGGAATAGTTTACCACCAGCGATTTTTCCGGACCGATACGACTTAGGGACCTTCAAGAAAAGAGCCTACTCCTTTTTAAAAGGCCGGCAACGCATCTGCAATTCCCCTGGTGTTGCGGTTGTTCATGGGCGGCGGTAGTCACTTACCATCAGGTGAGCCGCATGCACGTTTGCCCCCTCTCCTATAAAAAAAAATAACAAACGAGCACACAGTGCACCTGATGGTAAGTGGTTGCTGTGACCCATAGACATCTACATTTATCCTCAATAAAGTATCAAAATGCAGATGCGTCGTTACCCGTGAGGACTAAGATGTAATGCCTCATTTCCAGTAAAAAGGGTATCCTGTTCTCTATACTCACCATACGAAACACAGCAGTGTCAAGCTGCCATTTTACGCTGGTATTCTGTGAGAGCATGGTCCTTCCCCGGTCGAGCCGACCCATTCGTGCTACAACTATACTACTAATATAGCTGCAGCATGGCTCTACCACGTATAAATACCATTTGCACTTGTATCAGTTTCGCATCAGTAAATTTCTTATTAATAAACTCTTTTCGCTTTAAAACAACTACCCGAAACAAAGGCTTCACTTCTCAAAATTTAATCATATCTCAGCCAATGTATATCTCAAAGAGGGACAAGAACTTGGAGACTGGACCTTAGTCCACAGTAAAATAACTGTAAAACTAGCAGAAGAGTGCTTAGCCCCTTGCACGTGCGTAAACACAAACATTGATTGAAGTCGCGCATACAAAATAACATGAAATCCAGCCACACTGGATATACGTCACATGGTTTATATTTGTATATTTAAATGTTTATTAATCCGTTATCATTGTTCATCTTTGACACTATAGGACAACTTTTATAGGAATTTAATGATTTTGCATTATTATTTATACATATATCATTATTATTAACAATAATGCGTCGTCACAAGAGCAAGTTAGAATATATTATGACCTCTTGGGCCCGTCCCGAAAAAAGTCTACTAGATCTTGCAAAGTTTTAAGTAAAGTTTATTAGACTTCGCGTAAGTAGTAGCAAAAAACAATAGATTGAATATCTTAATATTGCATAAGCTTATTTATAAGCTTGTTGTCGTTTAAAAAATCTTCTCATCATTCTTCAATCATTCTTTCTTAGTTGTGTTGAAATTAAAATGTTCGAATTCCTGATTTCCAGATCCGAGTACGAAAAAAGGACTTATTGATAAGAACGATGTCAACACTGAAGTCAGAAATGAGTCACAGTGGAGATTTTTAAGTAAGTTGTAGTGTAGTTGGATATTTAAATTTACATTTTTTTTAACAGAACAGTACTGAACAAAAAACCAGCCTGTGATTTCAATCCGGGTTTCAATCAAGGTTTTAAATAAACTTTGAAAGTTTTTTCATTTCGCAATACGATTATAATTCTATTAATCCAAAATTATAAGCTTTTGATACTTTTATACGTGGAAGAGCCACGCTGCAGCCCTTTATAACTGCAGCACGAATAGTGCGGCTCGACCGGGGTAGGACTACACTCTCACAGTATACCAGCATGAAACAACAGAGTAGCCTCTTGGCGAGTGAGTGACCCGGAGACCCTTTATACTGGTTGCGAGGCTTTCCACTTTAGTCATCAGGTGTGAAAATTTTGATTCTTAATCGAGGATATACAGAATGGGGTCCCACATATATGCAATAAATTAAACCACAAGTAATACTAGTCCATAGAAGTGTAGAAAAATTAAATATTAAATTAAAACCCGTAAAATAAAAAAGTGAAATTTTCAAACAAAATAAATATTAAAATAAATTCAGTAAAAGTAAACACTCTGTTTAGACAACGTACCTTGACCCCTTGGAAGAGTGGCAACGTTGCACGCGGGTGGCATGGCGGTTGGCGGCAGGCAGCGTTATTGTTTGTCGGCACGGCCTATGGTCCGTTGGACAATGTGCGACGAAATAAAAACTTACTCACTAAACTGTTTAGGTATTTTACCGCCACTTTTTTATTTCGCGAAAATGGAACTGAACGAAATAAATATTATTGCATATTAGTAGCAAAATTTAATGAAACCCTATATTTTAAAATTTTCAAAATCGTTCTTGAATGCACAAGTTACATCGCCGCATAATGTTTCCTGAAGCTTGCTCAAAAAATTTCGTTCAGGATCCAGAGCCAGGGCTTTTAATTTGTTAAAGGCGGCAACAATACGATTGCGCAGTTCATCTTCGGTTTCGAAAATCTTTGAGTACACTTCATTTTTAATAAAGCCACATAAAAAAAAGTCTAGAGGAGTGAGGTCAAAAATAGTAAAGTAGTTTCAATATCACAATAAAAAATTAACGTACTTAAAACACTATTTACACACACAAAGTCAATCAACTAATGTCTATTTCACCGTAAAATAATTGTTTGACTAATTGTATTTATCTTACGATAATTATCTTACGATAAATAATTACAATGCGCGTAGGCAGCGAAACGCACCTGTATCCTGGAACAATTGCGCGTGAACTGGAAGCTAAACTTCCAAATTCCAAAATGGCGAAAATAATAAAAGTAATAAATAGGGCGGCCACAAGGTGCAATAATCGTTTATCGATACTTTTCTTTTTACGCTTATTTACTTACTACATTTGAATACAAGTAATTTTGATTTTTGATTTCATAACAATCGACAAGTTATTGATATTTAAAAAAAAAGTTTATTTTTGTACAATTGAACTTACGAAACTACCGATTTGTGACTTCCTGGGAAACGGTTAAGTATGTATGACTTTTTAATTGGTGGTTTTTATGGGTTTTTTATCATGTCAAAATAATTTATTATCTCTAAATCTACAAGAACACACTTAAACAAAAAAAGCTTTAAAGCTTAGCTTTAATACTTAGGTCGTAGTATTTTTAGGATTATCATAACAACACGATAATTCTAAAAAAAACCATACCCAAAGTGTTTAAAGCTAAACATTTTTTTTGTTTATCGTTTATTACTTACTCCCTTTGAAAGAAGCTAATCGTCGATAACAGGTGTCCTACTCTATGACAAAGGCGCGCGCGCCGCTGCGCCGTCGCCTTTGAAGTACGCCGCGTGCCTCGTGCCGCTTGTTTATGCACGCCGACAAAAGACACCGCTGTCGATACGTCGCAATACCAATAGTTTGCACTGCGTGGCAACGTCGCTTTTTAATATTCAAGGATTCAAGTTCATTGAATCATTGACTTAGTGACCCAATTCTATAGAGGGTTCAAATATGCTTAAAATTAAAACTCTACTTTTTGACCTAATTACTGGGCCGATTATGTTCATTTTTTGTACATCGTCAGCAAAGGCGATAACAAGTATGTGGTTTCATTTATTGCATATATGTGGGACCCCATTCTGTATGTGGATGTCTATGGGCCAAATCATCCACATAGCATCAGTGTGTGCTTGTTTGTCACCCTTATTCTTAAAAAAAAACCCTCACTTCCTTATTTATAAATTGATCTGTTGATTATTTACGTGGCAGAGACAACAAAGACAATTTTAATATAAAAATTAGAGTATACATTAAAATTATTCAAGCGAGTTTTTAATAAATATTAAAAATTTTAAGCGGTAAATTTTATTTCATGGAGCTCCATCTGCATGCGGTGCCACTTGTTGGTTGACGAAGGAAACTATGACGTTGTCATTAAATATAAATTCTTTGTATATAATTATACTAGCTTTAATAGAGGGTCAAACTTAAAAAAAAAAACTATCCTACTAACCTTTATCATCTGCCAAAATGCAACAATGAATATGGGAAAAGAGTGTGGGGACACATTCTGCATAATATTCTAAATGATGGGGATTAATCTAATAGATACAATCGAAGGCAAAAACACAGAAAGTACAATTAACTTTAAAAAGTTACTTTATGAAGTGTATGAGTGTGCATAGACACTCTGTTACCCAGAGTACCTTACCAAATAATTCGACGTGATGTCCTATGTCTTAAGTATGCATGAGTAACCAACTCAGACTTGCACACAAATCCAAAAAGGATTATGTAGATTCTTTTTGAAATAAATAAATAAAATATACAATTAAAACATTTAATGATGTCTTGGAATGATTTTGAGCCAATTTTTATGTCTCTTTTGCAGTGAGATCGGAATCATCGAAACGGGCCCTAGTATCAGTCCTCATATTAATGTCCGTGACAATACTCATGGGATCAATCGTTTTGCAAGTCTACGCAGAACCACTCTTTAAGGAAGCAGTGCCATCAATGCAGCCAAATCTGTGCTCTATTCTTTTAGCCGTCACGTTCCTAATTGCTAGTTTAGTTTGCGCCCTCATGTTAGACAAGTTTGGGAGAAGGGTAAGAAAATGTTTTGATTACAGTTATTATTTTAATTTCCAGATATTTTTAAGTTATGTAGATTTTCATGCAAAATCCCACAAAATAAGCCCTATTTAGTCTGTTTCTATGCTTGTTGTAGAGGCTTTTTCCGTTAATCACAGAGATAATTAAAAGACAGATTTATAAAATGCGGTTACTCAAATACAGACTAGAGAAAAAATAGAGAAGGTGAAAAAAATGTTATAGGTTCACATAATGATTTCTTATATTTATGCGAACACTACACATTTAAATAAAACTAATTTTACGGATTTTATCGCGTACGTTAACTTATTTTACATTCCCGACGTTTCAAGTACTTTACAGCACCCCTGGTCACGGGAGGGACTGAAGTGTATGACGTCCCAATGTCATAGTTAACCACGGTTACCTCCAGATTAAAAATTATTAATTTTATTAATTTTTGTTCCGATCTACGCAGTATGAACTTACAGTATCATTAAATCTTGCAGTTGTATGCTTGGGTTGGGATTTAATTTTATTAATTATGGGATCCCAAGCAGATGGTAGTACCCAGCCATCTTCTCTATTGAAATTAGAATGTTTTTTGATTTCAGTAGCCTCGCGAATCATCCTTGGAAGGAATCGGTGTTCTTTAGCGAGGATTTGTGGTTTATCAAATCTAATGTAGTGACGGGGGCGATCCTGTACGTGTTCACAGACTGCAGACTTCCCGGAGCGTCTATTCTTCACGTCAGCTATGTGTTCTTTAACGCGGGTTTTTATGGATCGTTTAGTTTGTCCTATATAAGAGAGACCACTGATGGTAAAAACTGACTGATCTTCTTCGGCGGCTTGAAATATGTTTTAATGGAAGCACGCTTCAAGATGTAGCCAATCTTGTCAGTGACACCTCTGACGTATGACAGTACAGCAGGCACTCGCTCGACTGTGGCCGGCTTCACTCGTTCACTGTGACGTACGCGCGGGACCCGAAGTTTATTGTCGTGCAAAACTTGCTTGACATGTTGGAGCTCGGCGGCCAGGTGTTTACTGTCGTAGATCCCTCGTGCTCTCTGAAACAAAAATTTACCCACGGTAGCTAACTGTGAAGGATGGTGGTGAGAATCACCGTTTAAATATCTATCTGTATGGGTCTTTTTTCTATACTCATTGTGGCTCAAGGTGTTATCAGGATTCCGAATTACTAACACATCTAGAAAAGCTAAAGAATTGTTTGCCTCTAACTCCATTGTGAACTGAATTTTACAATTTAAGGAGTTACGTCTACCACGGGGAGTGCTCTGAGGAATTGTTCGGATTAATCCCAGCCGCCAAATTTCACGAACGCACATCGCGGCAGAACTCCCGATACCATCCACACCATCTGGATGATTGGCGGTCCACCACTGTGCGATTTAGAAGATGTTTTCTTCCTCGCACGACTTCCTTGTGGAATCGATTACCATCAGCGATTTTTCCGGAACGATACGACTTAGAGACCTTCAAGAAGAGAGCCTACTCCTTTTTAAAAGGCCGGCAACGCATCTGCCATTCCCTCCCTGGTGTTGCAGCTGTTCATGGGCGGTGGTAGTCACTTACCATCAAGTGAGCCGCAAGCTCGTTTGCCCCCTCTCCTATAAAAAAAAGTTAAGATGGTCTAAAAATGCAGTCACTTTATCTAAAGATAGAATTGTGAAAGTGTCGTCTACGTACCTCTTGTAGAATCTTGGGTTTACGGGAGAAGTAAGCAGGGCTTTCTCCTCAAAGTCCTCCATGAATATATAGGCAACAATGGGAGATACAGGTGAGTCCATCGCCATTCGCCACTCCATCTACTTGCTTGTAGAACTCCTCCTTCCACAATAGGTAGCCAGATGTAAGGCAGTGTCTGAGTAATAATGCATATTCTACGGGCATGTTGTTTTCCTCTAGCCTTCTAGTAACAATCGAGATGCAGTCTTCAACAGGTAAGCATGTGAACAGAGACTGTACATCAAAACTGACCATAGTTTCATTGTCTGCCAGATGTAGGTCTTTAATCTCCCTGACAAAATGGTAGGAATCCTTTGTGTGTGCTCTTGTATGTCCCTTGAGCGGTGAGAGTATATTTGTTAAGTGTTGAGCCAATCTGTAAGTTGGTGAATCGATTTGGCTCACTATAGGACGTAGTGGAGCATTGGGCTTGTGTATTTTTGACCTTGTCATTTTTAACCTTTTTATACGTACTTGCATCCGACAAAAGTTCTTTTAAGTGTGTTATTTGTTGGGTCATTTTCAACCTTTTTATACGTACTTGCGTGCATGGATGCAAGTACGTATAAAAAAGTTAAAAATGGGCCAACAAATAACACACTTAAAACAACTAGTGATCTCATAAAGAAACAAAAGGTTAAAAATGACAAGGTCAAAAATACACAAGCCCAATGCTCCACTACGTCTTATAGTGAGCCAAATCGATTCACCAACTTACAGATTGGCTCAACACTTAACAAATATACTCTCACCGCTCAAGGGACATACAAGAGCACATACAAAGGATTCCTACCATTTTGCCAGCGAGATTAAAGATCTACATCTGGTAGACAATGAAACTATGGTCAGTTTTGATGTGCAGTCTCTGTTCACATGCTAACCTGTTGAAGACTGCATCTCGATTGTTACTAGAAGCCTAGAGGAAAACAACATGCCCGTAGAATATGCAGTATTATTCAGACACTACCTTACATCTGGCTACCTATTGTGGAAGGAGGAGTTCTACAAGCAAGTAGATGGAGTGGTGAATGGCGATGGACTCACCTGTATCTCCCATTGTTGCCGATATATTCATGGAGGACTTTGAGGAGAAAGCCCTGCTTACTTCTCCCGTAAACCCAAGATTCTACAAGCGGTACGTAGACGACACTTTCACAATTCTACCTTTAGATAAAGTAATTGCATTTTTAGACCACCTTAACTCCTTAAATTCTAAAATTCAGTTTACAATGGAGTTAGAGGCAAACAATTCTTTAGCTTTTCTACATGTGTTAGTAATTCGGAATCCTGATAACACCTTGAGCCACACTGTGTATAGAAAAAAGACCCATACAGATAGATATTTAAACGTTGATTCTTACCACCATCCTTCACAGTTAGCTACCGTGGGTAAATCTTTGTTTTAAAAAGCACGAAAGATCTGCGACAGTAAACACCTAGCCGCCGAGCTCCAACATGTCAAGCAAGTTTTGCACGACAATAAGCTTCGAGTCCCGTGCCTACGTCACAGTGAACGAGTGAAGCCGGCCACAGTCGAGCGAGTGCCTGCTGTACTGCCATATGTCAGAGGTGTCACTGACAAGATTGGCTACATCTTGAAGCGTGCTTCCATTAAAACATATTTCAAGCCGCCGAAGAAGATCAGTCAGTTTTTACCATCAGTCAAGTGTAATATTCCACTGCAAGATGTAGGAGTGTACAAGCTGGATTGTGAATGTGGTCTCTCTCATATAGGATAAACTAAAAGATCAATAAAAACCAGCGTTAAAGAACACATAGCTGATGTGAAGAATAGACGCTCCGGGAAGTCTGCATTCTGTGAAGGGGTCGTACAGGATCGCCCCCATCACTACATTAGATTTGATACACGAAGGTGTCTGGGTGCTACCATCTGCTTGGGATCCCATAATTAATAAAATTAAATCCCAACCCAAGCATACAACTGCAAGACTTCATGATACTGTAAGTTCATACTGCGTAGATTGGAACAAAAATTAATAAAATTAATAATTTTTAATTTGGAGGTAGCCGTGGTTAACTATGACATTGGGACGTCATACACCTCAGTTCCCCCCGTGACCATGGGTGCTGTAAAGTGCTTGAAACGTTGGGAATGTAAAATAAGTTAATATACGCGATAAGATCCGTAAAAGTAGTTTTATTTTAATTAAAATGTTATAGGTCTTTGAAAAACAATTTTGAAAATGTAATGAACAGCTACCATGGAAGACTAGCTAGCTACTAAAGTTAATAACGGGGAATTGATCGATGGAAACTGATCTGTTTATAAGGATTAGTAACGTGGTTTAATGATAGCATAACTACAATATTTAAAAAAGGGATATACCATGAACTGACTGATCTTTAGAAAGAATCAAGTGTTGAATTTTATATTTCGTTGATAAACTAACACTGATAAGTTCGTTACCTGTAAAAATGATTGTAGTTGACCTATTTTGTAGTTGTGTATGTATATATTTTTGTCACCACTAATGTATTCAAGTACGTAGTGTATAGGAACATTAAAAAGAGTGAGTATGCTGTACGAACTAATTGAAATTTAAAAAAGTAGAACTGGCAGGTAAAGTTGGATTATTTGTAAGATACTTCAAACAATAAAACTATTGTCTTTTTTAACGTCATTTATTAGCGGTTTGCAGTAGCGTGTTTTCCAAAAAAAAAAAAACAATTACGTGTTTTTGAAACGTAGTGGTAAAAAAAAGGACCAGAATAAATATTTCCCGAAGCCTGTTGGAAAAGCTGCAACAAGGTCCTGATCGTTTCTTTTGGCTTGATTTGTAACATTGGACGATAAGCGGCTTCACTATTACTATCCAATGTAAATTTACTGTCTACGACTTAGAAAAACCATCATCTACAACTCTTAACAAATTTAATAAAGAAATTGGAAGTGAATTATTCTAGTTCTATTGAACTATAAGGTAAACAAAATGGTATAGAATAAAAACTTTTATCTGTAACATATTTATTCTCTTTTGTTGAACCGTCCTAATATTTTCATTTGTTGGCATGTTCTTAGGTGGTGTGTGGTCTTTCTCATAGTTTTCATGATTTTCAAAAGAATATCTTTTCTCAACACTTGAATGCTGATAATTTAAGAATATGTTACAACAATTTACTTGATGAACTAATAGAAGCTAAAGGTGCAACAAACAATGATTTGATAAATTTGAACTGTAAAATAATAGGATAATATAATAAAATAATATAATAGGATAAAATAATAGGATAAAATAATATCA